CCCCCCAAAGCTTTTAAGGTGACACCCATTCTTAAAAAAAATTTCCCAAGTCTTCAGAAAATATTTTTTTCCCAACCGTCCCCCCCCCCCCAAAAAAAAAAAAAAAAAAAAAAAAAAAAAAAAAAAATCAGAGCATACAAGGCGAAAAGTTAAAAATGTGGATCTTTGTGTGCAATTTGGATTATCATTTTTATTATGTTTCAAAAGCGAATCAAGAGCACCCCCCCCCCCCCCTCAGCATACTGTCGCTCTTGTTAACCTCCCCAGTTTCCGAGAGCTCTTATAAGTGATGTCTACCCAGTGGCGGATTTAGGGGGTGTCAGGGGGTTCAAGACCTCCCCCGCCTTGGGTTTCTAAAAAATAACACCAATATTCCCTTCTTGAAATTAGAATTCGCCCTCTAAAACACTAAAAAATTTCGCGGCCCTTCAGCGGGCTCCGAACCCCACGCCAGGGGGGGGGGGAACTCGGCTTCGCATCCAAGGCCTGTCATTCCTAAAAAAACCTGGCCTTCCCCTTACAAATTTTCTCGGATGCCCCTGTCCATCGTGAGTACATCTCTACAGTTTCCAGTACGCATTCATTCGTACGCACCTCTGAAACACCGAGAGACTTACGTTCAAGCATTTCAGCAACCCAAATCGCAGCTGTGATTGGATACAATTGCGGCGGAGAGGAGAGACACAAAAATTAGTCTGCTTTGTCTACGACCACTTGATAAGCCCTACTACCCTCTACCAGAGTCACAGTGAACATTTATTAGATAATCACTGATATTTCTTTGGCCATTCACCAGCTGTACATGCACATTTTTGCACTGTGTCCTGTGAGAATGTTTAACACAACAACTGCTGTCTCTGGCAGAGAGTAACACATGCGGGTATTGCATTGTGATCGAGACAATCTTCGTCTTCTCTAACACATTCAGGGAATTCTCGAGTCTGTTGCGCTGCTAAGTGGATTGACAATTTATGTTACTAATGACCAGTGATAAACGATTTGACCAGAAGTGTACTTTTCATTATTTCCTGAATAACTTTGCCACAATCGAATTCATTCTTTATGCTCAAAAATATATGAAAAGATTTATTCTTCGTGAAAACCGGGTACCCAGAGAATAAATATCGCCATTACTGTCTGGTGAAACCGGCCCCACATCACATCTGTCAGGCTGTTGAAATTGCCTTGAAGATTTTACCATATGCTGCGTTTGATTTACGCCTATATTTCTTTTGTTTTTACTTGATGGGCTAAAGTGTTAAATCAGAGTTAGAGGTTAAAATATTGAAATTGTTCAGATTTTGTAGAAGTTTTAAAAAAGTTTTAGAAAAAAAATGTCACATGATATGTTTCAGTGCTCTCATTGGCGTGCTACTAGTACATGTAGTAATAAAGGTCGATATACATAGGCCTTTTCTTTAATATGGTTATTTTTAAAATTGTAATTTAATTTGATGAAAATGAAAACGCCCTTTTAAGTGAACTTTACATTGGATGACATTTCCGGTTGAATCTCAGTGAGTTAGGCCTAATAATCGCTATATGAAAATAGCTTATAATGTCCGAAATCTCAGGATTCTTATATTTTTTAGAATTCTGCTACCAGTCATATTGACAGAATTTTTTTTACTAGAATATTACCCTTCTAATTTAGACAATTACAATAAGTGCTAAATTAGGACCGGAAGCACTATTTAAAATAAAGTATAATTGCTGTTCAATATGTGAAATCCAACAGTGCGGCGTACTCGTGAGTCACTTGGAAAGTTTGAAGCTTGTACAATGTGATTAGTAACTTACATGTACAATACTTTCCCTCTTCGCCAGGAACAGTTTTTTTTTTT